CACGAGGCGGCCGCGGGCCAAGGATCCCACTGGCCAGGGGCCGGGTGTCAGAACCACGGAAGCGCGCCGTCGGCGGCGACCGGCAGCCGGGCCGCAAGCAGAGGACCTCCCCGCACAGCAGGCAGAAAGTGGCCCGGCTGGAGGCCGGCTTGCTGCAGGAGGTGCAGTGATACTCCGGGCTGCCGGCCAGTCGCAGCAGTCGATCCAGCGTCTGAGGAAGGTACACCGTCTCATAGACGAAGGGGTGCTCCAGGTGCAGGACGGCCGCCCGGCCGGGCAGGTACCCGGGGTCCGGGCTGACCGTCGGGCTTTGCCGGACCGGCATCATTTCCCACCGGCCGGCGTCCACCGGGCCGGGCGACAAGCCACCACCGGTGTCGGAGGACATGACCCCCGCGGAGCCACCCGGCGGAGTGGCCTCGGCTGTCACCCATGCGGCCACCAGGTGCCCAGAGAGGGTGATCGCCTGGGAGACACCGTCAGACAGCGGAGCCGACACATGGTCAACCTCCATGGCGGCAACCGAGCACCGGGCATCAGTCGATCCGCCGGCGCCGGCGCCGGCGCCGGCGCCGGGGCCCCCATCAAACAAGGACCGCAGGTCGAATGGCAGCTCCAGGTACCGGGCCAGGAGGTCCCACTCGGACATGGCGGCCGGGTGGTCGCCCGAATCGTCGGGCACCGGCACCGGCACACCCAGCAGCGCAAACACCAGCAGCGCAAACTGCCGCAGCAGCGGCAGCGTATAGGCACGAACCAGGCGCAGAAGCTTGGCCGAGAGCCCGGGGCCCATGGCAAAGTCCTGGCCCAAGGCCACGCGGCTGATCAGCCCCGCCAGATCCCCCAAGACCGCGGCATTGTCCTGGGCCAGAAGGGCCCGGCCGGCAACCGTGCCCGGAGAGGGGGCCCCCGCGGCCACCGAAGCCGACCGGGGGCCCAGCCACTCGACAAAGGACGGCTCCGAGCCGGCATCCACCGGGCTCAACTGCCCCGGATGCTCGGCCACAAAGCGCAGGGTCACCTTGACCACCTCGCGCAGGAGGAACACCCGGATCCAATTGAAGACATCCGCCGGCAGGGGCCGCGACAGGAGAGCCGCCGTGGCCGGATCGACCTCGCCCATGGCCGGGCTCTGCTGGCCGAGGTCCAGCGAGAAGACCAGCTCGGAGATGCGGTTCATCAGGCACACCAGCAGGACGGACTCCAGCGCCGGCACGCGGAGGAAGGTGGTCCGGTCAAGTTTGTTGGTCATGTCATGATGCCCGACCGACAGCTGATCGAGAGGCAGGAAGTCACGGCCGAAGGTCAAACAACCCGACAGGTTAACACCGTGTGGAGCAGGCGGCAGGAAAGGGGTGGTAGGAAGGAGCAAAAGGGGGGACAGCGCGGAGAGAGAGGAAGAGAGAGAAGGAGAGAGGGAGGGAGAGAGGGAGGGAGAGAGAG